CCTGCGGATCTTCACCAACTATCAGCAGGACGACTGGGATGAGCTGATTCCGGCCGCGGAGTTCGCTTACAACAACCACGTTCACTCCTCCACACAGCAAGTCCCCTTCATGACGGACACGGGGACGGCTTCCGCGCATGGGCTTCGAACCCGGAGTCCGTTCCGCTATGGAGTCCGTGAACGAGTTCCGCGACCGGATTGCCACTGGTGTTGCCGAAGCCAAGGCCGCGCTCACTAAGGCCAAAGAGGAGTACAAGCGCTACTATGACCGGAGACGCACTCCGTCTCCGGAGTTTAAGGTTGGCGACCGTGTTTGGCTGGATGCCTCTGACATCAGGACGACTCGCCCCTCGGAAAAGTTCTCCCACCGCCGCCTCGGACCGTTCAAGATAATCGCGGAGATCAGCAAGGGTGCCTACAAGCTCGACCTCCCTCCGTGCTACTCGAAGCTCCACCTGGTCTTTCCCGTCGTCAAGCTTGAGCTCGCCCAAGACGACCCCTTCGACGGACGCCCCGGCTACGACCAGCCGGTTTATTGGCCTGTACAGGGACCATGTCACGGCACGTGCCTCCATGATCGGCGATTGACACAATCTGTCACCGCTTTGACTGTGCCCTCCCATGTCGCCGCATACTCCGGCCGGTCCGCCAGCCCCCCCGACTCTTGCACCTGCCAGTGGACAATGCGGACAATGTCTTTCTATGCGCCAGCCAACGCCCTTCAACGTCTTTCACCTCTGCCACCACCTACTCTGCAGCCCCGCCCTCCTGCCCAGCCTTTGCATGGTTGCTCAGCCTAAAAACCGCACGCTCCCGCCCCATGGCATCCCGCAATTCACTCTCGCGGACGCATCAAATCTATCGCAAAAACAACACAGCCCACCCTTTGCGACCACATCCAGTCTGCACTGGCCTGGAGTGCAACCGTCATTGGAGCCGAATCCACAGATGGCTCGGAGCCTGATGATGAGATGGAGGATAACGAGATGGAGGACTCGGAGATTGACGCCGGTGTTGGCGACTCAGAGGAGTTGCTAGGGCCTTTGTTGCTCCCCCCACTTCCCGCACTTGACGATGACTGTCCGCAAACGCAAACGCAAACACAAACCGCTCAGATTCCGCCAGCGTCAATGAGTGCCTTTGAAGCGCAAGCCCACTCTCGACTGTTTTTCGAGTTGGACCGTGTTGAACACACACTCGGCATCTGTCTGGATGCTCTACAGAACTCGGCTGAACCCGCCGCATTCACAGAGGTTGAAAATGCCCGCCTCGAGAAATTTGAAGTGATGTTTGGCTTGCTCGCTACTCAGTTCCGTGCGCGCCGTGCTGGGGTTCCTGTTGTTGTGGCTCCGAGTCCGAGCCAGGGGACCTTGGCCCGAATTCGGGCAGCACCGGAAGACGATGAAAACGAGGATACCCACTTGCCCAAGCGGCAGCGTCTTCTTCCTCCTTCCCCCAAAAAGCGGCCACATCGTCATCAATCATATTCGGCAACATAGATTACTTTGATTATGTACATCTGTATCTTGCTTAAAATATCATCTAGATCTAGATCGTGCTTTGTGTGAACAATGAAGCAGAGGACAATGGGTGCGGCAAGGCCCGGACACAATGCGCAAGTTGGGGCACGTGCCGTCACATGCTCCCTGTACAAGCCAGAACGCCCGACCAGCCCCCTCCGGACCTCGAGGACGGAGTCCTGGAGTGGGAAGTAGAGGAAATCTTGGACGCAAGGGTGAGGTATAAACGGCTGAATTACTTCGTCAGATGGAAAGGCTACGACGCGTCGCACGACCAGTGGGTCCGCTTCGACCGCGTCTTCGCCCCAGATAAAATTGCAGAGTTCTATCGTAAGTACCCTGGCAAACCACGGCATATTGCCTCTGCAACCTTCGACTTGATTCCGTTCTGGTCTATGCGTCGGGACACCGCATTCAAAGGGGGGGTGATGTCAGGGGAACCTCCCTTTTGGCCCCTCGGAGACGTCTCCGATTCCGGTCCGATTCCGGTTCCGTCTCCGGTCCGGCCCTCCATCTTGCCCGCACAATCGCCGATCCGTCAACGCCCTCCCAACGGTCGCCCTGGGACCTTGCCTGCGACGCTGCCCAAGCTTTCTGTGCCCGACAGCGGCAGCTACGGACAAGCAGTATATAGTCAGCTCCCTAGCAGGCGGACCCTTAGAGTTTCTTCTCTTTGGATCCTCCCCTGCTAGGTCAGCTTCGTTTGTATTTGCTTACCAATGTTCACGCTTTGGATCCTCCCCTGCTAGGCCTTGATCTCAGGCCTCCGGGGTTGCCCTTACAAGATTTTATTTTATTCAACAGAGAGGAATATTCTCCTGAAGCATTAAATTATGAAGTTTATTGTTGATGAGACATCATATCTCAAGGAGTGAATGTAGCTTTAGTTCTATTTAAATTGGCAATAATCACTGGCATTTATAGCAAGTCTGCAGCAACTATGATTATTGCTTATCCTCAGAAAGGAATTTGTCTGCACCAAGAGATTTAGACATTAAATTCTGGAGTTTGGAGAGTCGAACCAGATGCACCTGTTGACATGGGAAAATGTGACATGGCATACAGTGATGCGGTGGTGGTGACCATCATGGCAATTTTCAGAGGTGCATAAGCACAAACCTAAATCAGTTTGTGAATCAGAGTTTTTGTCACGGATAAGACCTGGTCACACCAGATTTGGTAAAACATCCCTTGAAGTAGAAAATGTTTTAGATTCTTCCAGAATCTAGAACCAAATCAACCTGTGGAAATATGCCCAAAATATACCTTTTTGAAACTGAGAATGATTTTAGTCAAATATATACTAGTTTTAGGCAGTCTGAGATGAAACTATCTATGAGACTGAAATCGTTGCTGGAATGGTTTTTGTCTGTGCGCAGACATCATACACCAAATGTGGCAAAACTGACAGTGAAACAAAGGATTTCACTGACAGTTTCAGCACGGATTATACAAAGGAAATCAGCAGTGGAGAAATTCACATAGATTCTCTTTTTTTCCTATTTGCATCTCTCCACTGCTGAAACTGTAGGTTTACAGTACAATGAAATCATTGTTGAAATCTCACATTTATTCATGGCTGTTAAGTGCCATGCAAGAACCGAAGAGAAGTAACGGAAAGTCCGAAGCGGAACCGAGTGGCTATCACAACACTATATCGGAGTGAGCGACTACATGTCTTGCAGGCCAAAAGCAAGTCTGGACAAATATGTGAACTCCTGCGGATACATTTGGAGAAGCTGAAGGCGATAAGGCTTAGAACGCAGGGAGGAGTCGGACAAGAGCAGAGAGCGAGGCAAGAACATTAATAATGAAACAGAAGTACAGAAGTGTAGAGTACGAGTATTTATACTAAGTGGTAAACATAAGGCATATCACCTCACAGGGAGATCATGTGGAGATCCTGCGGGATAAGTACAAAGGCATAGTAAGTAAGGGGAAAAGGTCAGCTTTACCCTCGCCACTCTTTCTTGTTGTCGGTTGATGCTGATCCTGACATAGTGAATAATTGCTGATAAGGAAATGTGGTGGTGTTGTGAGTTGTGTTCGTTGGGATACCTTTTGTGCAAGAGAGAGACAAAAAGGGGTCGCTTGAGATTGTGTGTGTGTGGTTTCTTAGTTGAATACCAGTATTGCGCAGATTTAAGCAGGGCCTATAACCTGTCAATAAATATGTATTGTGGGTGGGAGAGGGTAGCAGTAAGGGGCTCCGCCCAGGTTCCTGATGTAGATTGGATTAGTAATGGATAAGATCACTTGGTGGTTGCGTCAGTCTCCCACACGGTCAGAGCAAGGCGCCCGATCTCGATGCGGATATCCCCGCAAGCCCGCGGCCGCGGCGTGACGCGGCGAGCGCGACGTGCCTGTGGTGCATACCGCTATCTTATCCCGACCTTCTTATCAGCTTAGTTGAATGCCGGCCTCCGCGAATGAGGGATGATCAAAGTCTGGCCGGAAAGGATCTTTGCTGATGACATATTTGCCGACCGGGACTCCGGGAGAACCAAAGGGATGCGCACATGGCCGGTACGCGCATGACGTCTCACCAACTCCATCACAACATGTGGAGCGTTTCAACCTCTTCCACCGTAGCCAGTAATCTTGGGCTCGTTTGGAACCACCTCGCGCTCGACGAGCTCAATACGATGTCGGGGAGAAGAAGCGAAACACAGAACGCCGTCACTGTAGTCAGGACCAGGACCCTGCCATTGATACACTGGCCGATCCCCACATGTGCACAGACTCGATCACTTGCTTCATCCCTTCTTGACCTTGTTTTGGCCTGAGGCCAAGCAATACGATGTCGAAAAAAAGCTGGCTTGCTTTTTGTTTCATAAAGATTACACTAGATTAACGAGAACGCGATCGTGGAGAAGGCGGGTTCCATCAAATTTGAAGCCGAGGCATGGCATCACAAGCTGGCTTGCAGCCAGTTGCTTGCATATGCCAGGCTGAGGCAAGGGCTTCATTCATGCCCTTGCCGTGGTTTTCTCGTAGAACTGCCGACGATTCGGTCACGCAGTAGTCAGGACCCCGCACACCGCGGGAGCCGAGCTCGAGTAAAAGTGATGGACATCGGTCAAAATCACCGGGTCCTGAACACCCTAGCCGTGTCGTCAGGGGGAGAGAAGACAGTCTGAGACAACCAGCGGCTCTTCCGGTTTCGCTTCCGGTTTCGCTCCGAGTCCCGGTTTCGCAGCGCGCTCAACGTGTCGAATTTCGAAATTTCAAATTTCGAAACCGGTTGCGAAATTCGAAACCCTGTGAGTAATTCCGCAAGCTATATGTACTGGGTGTCTAGGAATGGGGTCGTCGTCGGTTTTTCCCTTCTGCAACTACTCCCCCGGCCTATTCCCTCCCTTCAACTTCTTGCCGCCAGACCGGCTTTTGTTTCCTTCACTTCTTTTTGCGCTAGATCGCAACTTTCTTCTTTAACTCAGCCGCCCCGCACCGTGACGTCCTTCGTCTACCGACCAAACGATGCGCTTCCAGACAAGCTTCCTCGTCTCGCTCCTCCTGACACTGCCCGTGTTTGGTAGTCTCGAGCCGCCTACCGCGGCGGACGACGCCGAGCTAATGGTGCGCCGAGTTGGTTCTTCTGCTATATCTTTCGGTCGCATTGAAGCGTCTTATGTTATAGGCGCTTGAGGCTCGTGCAGCGCGCAATGCCGCCGCTTTGAAGAAGCGGGTGCGTAATCCCGTGGTTGTCAGCCACGTCGCTCACTGCCTCGGTATATAGGCGACGAATCCTCCGGCCAAGGCGCCGGCCAAAGCGCCGGCCAAAGCGCCGGCCAAAGCGCCAGTCAAAGCACCCGCTCAAGCGCCCGCCAAAGCGCCCGCCAAAGCGCCGGTCAAAGCACCCGCTCAAGCGCCAGTAAAGGCTCCAGCAAACGTCCCCGCGAAGTCACCGGCTGCGGCACCTGCCGCCAAAGCACCTGCAAAAGCACCCGCCAAGGCACCCGCGAAAGCGAAGTGCACGCAGGCACAGATCGCCAAGGCGTTGCAAGCACGATATGCCGAATTCGGGCTAAACCGCCACGAGGCGCGTGCGGGCATAGTGCACCCTGGCGGGAAGAACCGCGTCAACCTCTTCCACGGCACCAATCCACGCCTGGGCGAGTCCCTGGAGGCTGGCGTGAACCTCTTGAAGACCCGTCCAACAGGCGACTTCAACCACAAGCCTGAGGTGCCCGGCGGCTTCTATCTCACCGACAGTGTCATTGCTGCAGCGCAATTCGCGTGTTTTGGCGCAGTGCTAGACCAATTCGCACCGCTCAAAGTTGACGTCTTCGGTATGTGTTTTAATCTTTCTAAGCTGAGAGGACGTTGATCGTATGAACCATCCGTTGCAGAGTACACCTGGAACGGACCTGGTGCTGATGTATTCGAGTTTCCGGGGAAGACGAAAGACTGGAAGGATGTGCGTGTCTTGCGTGTCTTCACCGCTTAGCAACTCACCCACATGTTGTTGCAGTTTCAAGTGTATAACGACAACCCGGATACCACCAGGGAGAATGTCAACAGTCCTTTCCGTCCCAAAGCCGTCGAGATATACAAGAACCAGATGATCACCGGGCCGATGGACGCCGCAGAAGGTGTGTCTTCTGTTCAAGTCTGCTGGAACCTGCTGCTCATACTATGTGTATCCGCAGATAACCACATGACCGACGAGTTCCAGCAATACGCTATCGTCAATCAACCTGCGGTGAATTCGCGCCTCAAGCTGGTCACCGCGCACCGGAACATCATCTGCAAAAACGTGCCCAAGGCCAATGCGCTGACGTCGACGCTGTACATCAAGGGCCAGGCTGGGAACCCCGGTTTCCAGACTCTCCTGGCGAAGCTTCAGAACCCGCTCCTTGTGGTGCCGTTGGAGAATTGTGTTATTGAGTAAGTGGTGGCGATATGGTTGTAGCACTTACTGTACTACCGGCCTGAGTAAACTTTAAACAACTTTTGAGGACCCTCTATGTCACGCATTCGCGCCGGACGCCGGTTTTGGCTGTGTCAGGCTTGTGTTGGCTTCAGCAACTAATAGCTATGATGGATGAGAGTATGGAACAAGCACGTAATGCATTCAGGGTCCGGGACCCCAGGCCTTCGCAAAATCGTCGTCGTGGAGAAGGTGCCACACCACGCGTAGAAGTACCGTGTTCCGTGACGGTGGTCGCGATCAGCTCTGTGCTGGCACTGGCCCACTGAACCAGGCCGCCCAGGGTCACGTTTTACCAGAAAGCAGCCCGACTAGTGCTGTCCACAATTATATTATGCTAGAATATATTTTGAATATATTCGAATAAATATGATTATATTATGCCCTTTGCATATTCAGACCCATTGAATATGAGTGATTATGAATATGAATATATTATGAATATAATATATTATACCTTGGCCATAATTAATTATATTCAAATACACCAGCAAGCCCTTCAGCCAGAGGTACTAGCTCTGTAGCAGGCTACTAGCAGCAGTAGCAACATCTTCAAACTCAGTCTTTACCATATCAATGGCTTTTGGCAGTAAATCAGGCCGGACAATATCCATATCCAGCCCTGACAGAAGGCTGAAGTTGACCTTTATATTACTACCCTGGACTTTGATGATACTCTTCGCTGGTGAAGGTATCATACTTGACCTAGGCTAGAGTTTTGTTCAGCTTAATATCTTGTTGTAGAATATCCAGGCTATGTTACCAATCCTGGTTATGGCTGCAAAGAGCATCTCTGTAGGGCACCTGGTCTCCAGACTCCAGCATCAAGCATAGGATGACAGATATGCATGCCTCAATGACTGCAAAATTGGCCACAGAAACAACCATAACCAAGGAGTGGTTCAATAAACCATGAGATAAGGTGGATTATATGCACTATGTGCAGACTTGTGAAGCTTGAATATAATTGAATATATTCATAATATATTCATATTCTGAGCCCAATTATGATTATGAATATGAATACAATTATAATATGCTCCAGCAGAGAGAATATATTATGAATATGAATAAATTATGAAAATTTCGTATTCATAATCATAATTGGACAGCACTAAGCCCGACATCTGGGCGGGCGAGCTGCGGAGAATGAGGCAGCCGGCCGTACTCGGGCCTCCGCTAGGCATGGGCTCGGAGGCTCGAGTCCGACGATTAGCGCGGAGAGAGGGCGTTTGTGAGCCTTGTCAAGTGTCTTCAATACAGGAAGGTGTGACCGTGACGCGATGACGCCATGGCTGACTCTCACCACTGCGCTCGCGTGTGTGAGCCGCGCAGCCTGAAACACAACAAGATGTGCCAGAGCCAGTGGATGCTAGTCTCGAGACCATCAGTTTTTGGTAATTCGAGTACGTCAATAAAATGTGTATAATGGATCGAAAGGGGCACCGTTTGTTCCCAAACTCCTGCAGTGACTCTCTCAAATGTCTGGGGCAATTCGATTGACACCACCCCCATCAAGTTACAACTGTCAGAAATGTAAGTGTGACCGATGAGTTGCGTCTATCATTTATGCACTAAGCGAATGAATGGGCGTGTCAAGGCGTAAACAGCTACTCACCGAGCATGGTCCCGAACTCCTTCAAGCTGCCTGTAGTCTGCCCGTGATTTCTGACATGTCATCTGAGTCCTTCGAGTCCACTTCGGAATCACTAGCTGCATTGACCACCTATAGTGTACCCTAATACCCTCAGTGTGCATTGGCCATGGGATCATCATCAGAGGCACTCTCGGACTCATCCGGGACATCTCCATCCTCTGGTGGGTCGTAGAATAGCAGTGGTGGGTCAATAGTGTCGTCCAGAACAAGTACAATATGCGATTGTCAGCGGTGATCCAATGAGAATGTGGAAATATAGACTTGTTGACAACTACTGACAGGGAAGTCATCCTCAAGCCACCCCGTTGGTCCAGAATCCGATTCCTCAAGGCCCTATCGACCACTCCCGGCAGTCTTACCAGGTATGTTATGTTGCATCATTTCCTCAACTATATTTAATAATGATGAATAGTTTTCAATCCGTCCTTTTGCATCAGCTCCTTCGACTTCTTCGGTTCCTATCGATCCGGCCCTGCTAGCTCTGGATGCAACTCGTGTTGCTTCAATCAGTACCACCCCAGCAACGGCAACGGCAACCACAGCTGCAACTAAGCCTCAGTGTCACCGCCACTCAAAATCTAAAAAAGAGTGTTTATCAGACTCTGACGTGCAAAGAAGGGAAAGGCGAAGGAGACCGTTGTGGCTTCAGACTTGGAGGTCGAAGTTGTGGGGAAGGGGAAGCAAGGCCGACCTGCGGGAATACTGAATTTCATGTCAAATGACCACAAACTGCTCAATGCGACTTTGCAGAGCGTGACTGGCTTCCAATTGGCGGGAAAGGTTGGGAGGCTGTTGAAAAAGAGTTCAACAAGCGAGCAAAGGCAGCACAGTGAGCACACCAACCCGAACATGTGGCAAAGTTCTTGGAGCAGAAGCATAAAAGTGTACGCTTGCAAATCATTTGACAATCATATGCTTACCTGGCCTACAGGCTGCTGCTTCCAAGAAACCCACAGGTGAAGGGGAATGCCCACTGCATATCCTCAAAGCAAAGCGACTGGAGAAACTTATGCACACGACCGTATAGGTGCTTGCGATCTTGATGATACCAACACTCCGTCAGATGCAAACTCTAATAACGATGACTCTGACGATGCAATAGTTACTGTGACAGCTTGCAAAGCTCCATCCCCTGCCCTCCCATCGTGTTGATCTGGCCCTAAAGGTGCCGTCAATGCTATCAACTCCATTCTTCGCCTGCACAACCACCGATCTGTCAAGACTCTCCCAACAATCACCTTGGGACAGAGCTTGCGATGCCGCTCAGGCCTTCTGCGCTCCACGTCAGCAGTTACGGACAACCAGTATATAGTTGGCGCCGCTATGGGGGACGCGTTGTATTCTGGGCATATAGCTACAATACAGCGCAAATATATACCTGGGGCCATCACTGCCTTACATAATCGCTGGCCGCGGCTGCCAGTCACGTGCCTGGTTCCGAGATGGTTTCAGCCACTTGTTTTGTCTCATCCTGCTTCAATCTACTCCCCTAATGCATCCTGAGACGTCTTAGTCTCTCGCGTTTTGCTTCAGCAAGCGTTTGAGATCATACACATCCCATGATGCGTTTCAGGGCCTCCGGCCGGTTGCGGCCCGGTCTGAACTGTTCCAGAGTGGATTTGGGGGTCAAAAGCACTCTTAAGCACCACCTTCAGCTCTTTTCCCTCCACCTACGCGTCCCGCGCTCAACATCTCCCCCTTTTTGAAATCTGAGTGTCCTCACTCAACTGATCCCGCGAATCTCCCTGACCATCGCCGGATTTCGGATTACTGGTGATTCGGCTAGTTGTCAGGGGAACCCCCGCTTCGGCCCCCTTCGGACCGTCCAAGCGCATCCGAGGCACATCCGACCAGCGCCCCCTCGGACGCTCCAACTATCGTCCACAGCCTCCTTCGCCCGCACAATCACCGATCCATCAAGACCCTCCCAACAATCACCTTGGGACAGGGCCGGAGACGCCGCTCAGGCCTTCTGCGCTCTACATCGGCAGTTACGGACAACCAGTATATAGTTGGCACCCTAGCAGGCGGACCCTTAGAGTTTCTTCTCTTTGGATCCTACCTATACAGACATATGGGATGTCTAAAAATCAATGAGTTTCTCAGAGCTATGATAGACATTCATTAATGTATAACCCAACTTGGATTATGATTATCCATGCATTCTTGACCCAGCTATCAAGACATCGTTGTCCTTGATTAAATTTGAAACAGAAAAAACTATGGAAAAGTGGTATACTAGGATAGTCTAAAGCTATGAGACTATAATCACTTCAGAACATATAAAGGCTAGGTAACTACCTACCTCCTAGTAAGACAAACATCTGAATTCATCAAGAACTCATGAAAATATGGCGTGATTAAGATATCTGATAGATATCTATTAGGTAGTGCAGCACACAGATAATATTATATTGATAGAGATATTTCTTGAGTAGCACTTCAATCAACTCTGTAGCCTGTCCAGTTACTGAGATATTATCTTATCAGTTGTAAACAGCTAATGATTGGCTAGTGCTGGCACAACCATTTAGCTGCCACTATATATTACTCAATAAAAGTTGTTCATATAGACAAAATATACAACTTTGGTTGTGTGACAATGTGTGACATTCTCTGATGATTATAGTATTAGATGGCAGAAATTTCCTTTTTTTGGACATCTGTCACACTATGTGTCACTATGTAACATTGTGACTCTGGCACTGAAATAAACACAAGTTACTTAAGGGTGTAATTATCCATAGCACAATACACTTGTATTAGAGTTTGTAAGAAAAATTCATTCCGGACTGTCCGCTGCGATCTTCATTGATCGTCTCCGAATTGTAATTCTCTACTGGGGAGATTTCCGCGTCTATGGTTCCCATTGCTGCTAATCGCTCGGCAACTTGCATCAATTCCTCCAACAAATGTGGATCTTCTCGACGTCTGTCTAGTGCTGCGACTCGAAGACCGAGTTCTTCTTGGACAAATCGACTGACTTGCTGGTCCAGAGAGACTTGTTTTGCGAATGTAGTTTCTTTGCCACAACCACGCAGCAAATGGACCAAGCCAATGAGAAGATGGATCGATTGGAGCAAGAGCTTGCCGAAATCTGGCACGAAAGGGACAACGACAACTTCAAGTTTCAACTGACAATGCAAGAGATGATAAACAAGAATAGTTTTGCTCGCAGCCCTGGGCCATCGCAGAAGAAGTACCACCATTCACCTTCACGGTCGCGCAGCCCCCATGAGCAATGCTCTTCACAAAATTGAGTGACACAATCATTTTGACACTGCTGCACAGTAGCAATTCTCTCAAAGTTATCCCACAACTCCTTGTCCTCTCTTGTTTGCTTCCAAATTGGCATATACACACTCTTGATTTGGTTATGGCCTACCTGTTCTGCTTGCAACTCGGAGTCGCAAGGTGTGCAGGCGGACACAAATTTTGAGTAGATCTACCCATGCCTGATTGTCATTGACCTCGAGTGGCATGCGTAAGCGGCCAAATGCGCCCTGAAATCCCCGCATTCCCCATTCCACTGTCTGTTGATATGAGAGTAAGTCGCAGCTAAATGCAATTCTCTCCGATACTTCTGTCGCTGTCCCAAACAACACCTGCCCAGTCTTGATAAGTGCACAGATTTTGCCTGCAATTTGTGCCGTCCCTCGAGGAAAGGCTGTGTCTGCACAGAGATACTACCCATCAGGCGTCATCTCCCAAGAGTTTGTCATATATGGGCTTTGCAATACGGGAATCAAGCCTAAAAAAGTGACAGGTTGGCACCGCTCAGGATATCTTTTTCCCTTACAGGAAGTCACCCAGTAGTTTCGTTTTTTCCTGATGTCTGCTAAAACGCGCAGCGTTCGTCGACCACATCAATTAGAGTGGCTGCATTTTCAATCGCAGTGGGCGCTGGGCGATGTACATCGCTCATCCATCTGGACTGGCGCTGACGTCTGACATCGATGATCGATTACACCGCCTCCGCTGGGCTAAATAGGCGCCCCGCGTCACACGCCCCCGCTCTTGTCTTCTCCCCTCACGCAACAACACCCAACGATGTCTTACGGCGGCGGCGGTGTGCGTTCCCTGCTGTGCCTGGCTGCGGAGACGATGTGTGCTGATGGGCTTTAGTACGGCGCTCCTCAGGGCGGATACGGTGGACATGGTGGTGGATATGGCGCGCCGCCTGGTGGGCCGCCTGGTACGTGCGCGCTCGTTCGTAGTGTTCTTCTCTGATTTGTTTGGGCAGGTGGTGGATATGGTGGCGGGGGCGGATATGGCGGCGGGGGTCACGGTGGGTATGGTGGGCAGCAGGGCGGATATGGGGCAGCGGGCCAGCCGGGCGGCTTTGCGCCTCAAGGCCACGGTGGCGGGCCTCCTCCCGGCGCTGACCCTCAGTGCGTTGTCCCCTTTACTTCAAGGAATGAGCGCTGATGATTGGGCAGGCTGTGGCAGTGGTTCTCAACGGTCGACACAGACAGATCCGGCGCGATAACGGCGCCTGAACTTGGTGCGCTCTTCGTTTCGTGATAGGCTGGTGTTTTCTAACATTTTGCATCGCAGAGCGCGCGTTGATTAATGGCGATTGGACCCGTAAGTGCTGGCGCCCGGGTCGGTGGGAGAGGCGCTGACGTGTCCGCAGCATTCGACCTCGATACCGTCAAGCTGCTCATGACCATCTTTGTTCGTCATGACGTATCACGAAGGGTGGAGCTGTGGCGCTAATGGAGAAATAGGACACGGACCGTAGTGGGACCATCGGCTTCAACGAGGTGCGTCTGTCATCTGCCCTATTTATCAAGTTTCTAACCAAGGGCAGTTTGCCGGGCTGTGGAAGTACATCAAGGACTGGCAGAACGTCTTCAAGCACTTTGACCGGGACCGCTCCGGGTCGATCGATGGGAACGAGCTGCGCGACGCCCTCGCCCAGTTCGGATTCAACCTCTCGCCGCACCTCCTCGTGCTCGTCCAGCGCAAATACGGTGAGCCTCCTCCTTCCTCTCCCCCCTCCGCCCGATCATTTACGCGGAATCAACTTACGAAGACATCAAAGCCTCTTCGGCCGGCGGCCCCCCTGGACGCGCACCCCCGGGCATCACGTTCGACCGCTTCGTGCGCGCGTGTGTCGTCGTAAAGCAGCTCAGCGAGGCCTTTGGGCGGCTCGACACCCAGCGCTCGGGGTGGATCCAGATCGGATACGAGCAGTTTATGGAGACGGTGCTGTCGCTGCCCTGAGAAATGGACGTTTGTAGGAAAAGAAACGCGATAGCGGATGTGTATAGTGTTTGTTGTTCGAGAGTCTGTTCTGTTTATTTGAGTACTAGTAAATAAAGGCAACGTGTCTGTCCACCGTTCGCTGGTTGTGAGCCATGATTCAACTTGAAGGAGTCTGCAAATTATAATTTATAGGCTTATATAGCATTCAGTAGTACTAGGCCGTACATATGACACAGTTATCTACCATAATATAGAAAGTTGAAACGCTCTTGAAGTACTGCCAGTGAGACATTTGGAGTGAAAATCAGGCAGAGGACTTCAAGTGAAATGGCGTGATATGAGTAATATCCAGAACTCCCACGTCAAACTCCTTGGTTGTTCCCACTATGAACGCCATGCCACCTGAGCTCATCCGCGTTATCGTCAGCAGCATCGACACCCAGCAAGACCTCAAGTCATGTTGTCTCGCAGCCTCCTACTTCCGCTCTTGGTGCCAACAGAGGCTCTTGGGCTCTCTGGCGCTCTCGCTCACCCGCGCTGCCCGCGACACGCGGGAACGGCTCAACCATCCGCCCAGGATGCGCGCTGGCAAAAAGAGCTTCGATGATGCAACGGAGCGCTTCGGGCGCTGGCCCCACCTCGCCGCCCTTGTCGTGGACCTCGACCTTGAGCTTAGCATCCTCGGCTTGGAAGCAGGCACCCTCGGAGTCGATGCTCCTGCCCTAGCCGCGCTTTTCTCGCTTTTCTCCCGCGTCAGCTCGTTGAGAATCGTCGGCCACAGCCCATGGAGCAACATCGAGCCCGCGTTGACTCACGCCCTCGCCCACTGGCTCGGGCATATCCCCCACGGCACATTGCAGTTTATTCACATGTCATACGCTATGCAGTTCCCGCGCAGCATCTTCCACGATATATTCCGCGCCCTGGCTCCGCATGCGCAAGTCGATTTCTTGATCGTATCCATGGACGCTGCGGAATGCACAGATCGGGGCCCATACACCACGGCTCCGTTCGCATTTAGTTGCGATCGCGGCCATGGCGTCCAGGCTGCACTAACCCAGTCCGAGTTTTTATCCGCTTTGCGGGGTCTCCGTAGCCTGGTCGCTCCCGCGGCCCCCGGAAACACCTTTGGGGAGTCGCTGCGGCTCTGTGAAGCAGCATCCAACACTCTCGAGCACCTCAACCTTCAAATAACATGTATGTCTCCCCAAGAGCTTCAGATATCAGGCTCATGTATGATCAGTCGGTCGCTATAATGCCCTCCTCGATGCCCCACTTCCGCAGTGCCTGTCTGTGCTCACCACGCTCACGCTCACTTTTTCCCCGCTCGAGGCGGAACTCCGCAGCGACACACACTTCTCCTGGCTGCTCACCACCGTCGTCGCGCCGCTGCTGCATCCCGCGGTCACCCCGCAGCTGGCGACGCTCACGATTCCGTGCAAGTTGCACCCGCTCAATAGCCTTGCGTCGACCGTGGCCTTTCTTTTGAGCGCCGTCCGCCAGGACACTGGGCAGGCGTGCCTCCGGATGCTCGACGAGACTCTTGCGGGCCGGCACATCCGGTTGCTGTTTGTCTTCTTGGTGGTCAAACCGCAGCAGGTGGTCGCCGGCGAGGCAGATGAGCAGCAAACTGTTCTCCGGGAGCTGCAGGTCTGCTTGAAAAGACAGGCGGAGCGGGGCCTGCTCGATGTTGCTCTCAGGTTTTCGGGGCCTCTTGATTGAGTGATCATACCTGGATTCAAAATGATTGGTTCCATTACCTAGTAAAACTTTGAGGTGTGTTGATCTGATTTGCAAAGCTGTTAGAAAGACCTGTAATTATTGGCAGGGGAATTACTTACAGCTATCTCAGTGTTAAACATGTGCTTACATAGGTAACATGCCACTTATTGCCACATGTTGTAGACACTGGGCTGATTTAAGAATTTTCCCCCGGGGAAAGTTAAAGGATAAATGGAAGAATAAATTCCAAATTTATCTATAGATTGTCTTTATAATAAAAAACCAAAAACAACTGTATGTGGTAGTTTTTGACACAAGGAAAATTCAGAGATAAAGCTTGTCTGTTTCCAGCACCAAAGCCCAGGGTAAAACTTTAATATAGATAAATGTAAAAACCTAAAGAAAAGATAAATCTGCACATTTATCTGTAAGACAAATGTGGGGTTTATCTGCTGGATAAAGCTGTAGAAAAATCTGCCATTCAAAAGACAAAGACAAGTTTATCTGTTGCTTTATCTGTCAGAAAAACTCCATGTTTTTCCTACAGATCAATGCTCAGATATATATATGATTTACCTCTTGTTTTTTTCCGTTATAAAAATCACAGCTTAAATTGGTGAATAAATGTGGCATTTATCAGACCATTTTCCTTCAAGTTTTTCTGCTGGCAAAAGAACAGCTTTGTCCACAGATTTTCTTTGTGTTAAAAGCTACAATGGGGTTCAACTTTCAAATCATTAGGTTAGGGTTAGGATATAGAGTTGCAAGGTTTTTTCCGACTCTCCCTCCTGCCATATAAGGCAATATATTCCCTGGATTCGCGTCATGTGACCGCTGATACAATCAAAAGTGGTGCAAAAAGAAATTCAATCTTTATAAAACTTCTAAAATTATCATGCAGGTATATATATATACCTCGAGCCTTCAAAAACCCCTGCCAGAGCATATTAAGGCCTGTTTTGAAACCGGTTTCGAAACCGGTGGCAGGGGTTAGGTAATCACGGCCATGCAGCCGACACCTGAGCAACGGAGGCGAGCGGAGATGAATTGACGGCGACGGAGATCAGCGGGGGAAGCTGGTCGCCAGCTGGCATCTGTCAATAGCACATCCGAGGGCCTGGGCAGGTCAGCGGGGACCGCACCCAGCCGCTTAGCCGGTGATGGGTCACGACTGTACACCAACTTCTGAACCCAGCCAAACCCGGACCCTCGGAGGGTCTAATAAGCCAATATGATTCAACAATTTACTATCCAAACATGATTTTTGTGAGTTTTTAAGATATGAAAGAAATCACATGTCACCAAGCAGTGTGGTGGAATGATGGGAAAAGCTGCCCACCTAATGTCTGGTGCAGTTGGTTCGGCTAGATTACATCAATCTGTCAAATAAAGTGCTACCTACTGTGACAATTAGCTGAGTATCGACCATCTGCACCCCCATGCAGCATATCTGCCAGTGTGCGGTGGCTTAATACTTCCATAAGCCTGGCATGAGGCCAACAGAGGTGCTGAAATTAGGGCATGGGTTGCTCAACATACCAGAAACAAGCTGGGATTACAGATCTACATCAAGCCACATCACGCTAGCCGAGCGAAGTGCACCAGATCCTCTAGGGGTGATGTGTAGAAGTGATACCATTGCCGGCATAGCCGGCAACCCCCTAGAGGATCTGGAGCCGAGATTAGGGAGGATCCAAAGAGAAAAAACTCCAAGGGTCTGCCTGCTAGGTAGCTGATTATATACTGCTTGTCCGTAGCTGCCGCTATCAGGCACAGAAGGCTTGGGCAGCATCGCAGGCAAGGTCCCAGGGCGACTGTTGGGGGATGGGGAGGGGGGGGCTGACGGATTGGTGATTGTGCGGGCGAGATGGGGGCCGGACCGGAATCGGACCGGAATCGGATGCGTCTCCAAGGGGCTGAAAGGGGGGTTCCCCTGACAAAGACCTTGAGAAATTAGCTACATATACTATACCTGACCTAATATCATATAGCAAAACATATATTATGTTTAAATTATTGTCCCAAACTCACCTTCTGCCTCCAGGTCTGCAACCTGTGGGTCAACCCGGACCTGGTTAGTCCTACCCTAGTCTTCAAATTCCATTATCTTTATGATATCCTTTCACGGTGCTTCTTGCTTGCCTTCACTGGCCAACTGGCATCCTCTGAATTGGTGTTGTTTGTGACAGATCCGGCCCAAGACGCAGGTGCAAAAAAATAAACATCAGGTCGAAAAAGCGAAATAAGTACCAGTAGACCCTCCTTACTCTATTGACTAAGCATGACTAAACCACGTGACTTCCCGAAAAGGAAATTTTTTGTCATCACAATTTCTACAAATTTTTCTTGTAACTGTGCCCTATCAGAGAACTAATTTGTGCTCAGCACCTCTAAAAGACCCACACAGCAGAGATGATAGAGAAGGGTGATAACATGCTTACATGTCATTCTTTGACATCACACTCATCACCAAACTCTCCCAAGGAAATTGGCCATCAAATGTGCTGTATTCATTGGTGCCAAGTGCTACAAACAGATAAAATGCATTTTCCCTAGACATAAGTCTGAAAAGTGAAATTTCCACTGGGGAAATATTCCGTTATTAAGCTCTGTTTTTCTTATTTCTTGTACATATAAAGTCCCAAAGCCTTATCTCTTTGAAAGCTCTACAAATGTCATGCTTTTATATATGACAAAAATCAAGACTAAAGTCTGTAATTAATTCTCTCTGAGCTGGCCATTGCTTGCAAGCTTAAAGCAAATTATTACTCTCATATTAAGCAGATGGCATGTGAATGTATACATATGTTTGGCACCAGCCTTAGCAATTCATTTGCTCCCCACTTCCATTTTTGGGAAGTTTACAGACTTGGGTTGTATTCTTTGTTGACAATAGTGGACCAGACATTTAAGAAGTCCATTTGGGCAGCAGTGTGCTATTCTGTAGTTGGTGGGATTTTTTTGTAAGTTAGAAATTCATATTATTCAAGTCACATTCAAAGGTCCCCAGCCCTACATCAGCAAAATTACATTTTCCTGGGCGGTCTTGGGAGCCTTGGGGCCATGCCATCCCAAGACCCAAACACCCAGAACAAGTTTTAGGCCCAGAATTTATTCTGGGAGCATATTTACCTCATAATCCCAGAATGATTTCTGAGCCCAGAATGGATAATTTGCGTCCACATCTGCTTACTATTATACCACTATTCATGAAATTCAATACATATTGAATTCATATGCCTACATACACATACACGCATTCATCCGTTCCATCCCGCTGGGTTCACTATCTCGTAGCGCAATGCCAGCTCCCCCTCATGCCCAACCCAACCCAGACTGATGCCCGACCCAACCCATACCACTGCGGACTTGCGTTTCCATCGTTGCGGCGTCGCCCAGCGCATTTACCACTCCCTTTCCCTCTTCTTCCCTGCTCCGCTGGGCGGGCCACCCCCGGCATGCAGGGCCCATCCCACAAAGCTTCGCAAGTGCCTTGAGGAGCTTGCTGCGTCTTGCGGCACCTTGAGGGCTTGATGAAAGCCTTTACATGTTGACCAATGAGTTTCCGCTTGCGTTTGGCTTGCGTACATGCGCGCTTGCAGCACTACTTGCACCAGATTGCTTTTGGCCTTGATTTTGGTCTTGGCTCTGAATGGACGGCCACTAGTAGAGTGTCAGGAACGGGGCCGGCCCGGGCCCACGTGACGGTCTCCTGCCAGTCTGACAAGTGTGGGAAAGATGGTTCAACCCCCATAGCTGGGTGGTCGGCAACCAGGCAGCGTAGATGGTGCCACTGCAATAGAGAGCAGGGTAGGGACAGCTCGGGGCGACTCGAGACGCCCCGCTGTCACGTTGTGTGACAGCGGTGTCACAGGATACGAGTGGTCGTCTAGAGTGTCCTACCCCTGCTGAAGGGAACGAGTCCATAGCCAAAGAGTGCTGTCTAGTAGAGTTGGTGCCCAAGACATAGGGCAAGGCATAGGCTGGGCCAGTTGAACAGAGCCGTAGTGGTAATATATAGCCTAAAACCAGTAGGTGTAGCTAGGAGAACGCTTGCCTAGGAGGGTAGCTGTACCTAGGTAGCCTTTTACATGCCTCCATTAGAGCCAAATGTGACGATTTGTAACGTGTGACATATGTGTGACATATGTGACACATGTGACATTCTTGTGAAAAAATGCATTATTATTCTTTATCTAGTATCCTATAGGTTGTGACAATGCCCCTATCTGAGTAATGTTTTTAATGTGGAACCATTTTTGATGGCCATCAGTACTTTTGATGGCCATCAGTACTTTTGATGGCTATATCATAGTACATCAATTTTGTCCTAATTAGGATTGTTATTGATTCAGGCCTTCCTAACTATAATCCGGGTCATCGGCCTGAAGAAAAGGAGTTAAAAGTATTATATATATATTATTATCAAATTATATGTATCCTATACCCATTTATCACATCATTGATGCTATTTAGTTATCTGCCTATTAGATAGAAAAGGGCTTAGAGAGCTAGGTACAGATAGCCCTAGGTACAGCTACCCTTCCCGGCAACCATTTTCCTACCTGTACCTAGGGCTGAAGGCTAAATCTTACAGCTACGGGTGTTGAACAAGCCGTTCGGGCGGGGCGTGACGTAACGCGGTCACGCCCGACGGTTCGGGGGGTCGAGGGGAGTTGCCCCGCAGCAGGGGCTGCAGGCCCGAGACCCCTGGAGCGCTTGAGAAGGGTTGCCAGTCCAAGGGGCGACATATCTCCTTTCCTGGAGAAACGAGTCGCTGTGGCTCCTAGACACCGCGTGACTGCGCGGTGTGACGCGTGACATGCGGGCCCGATCGGGCCCGCACCCTCCCATCGCCCCGTACCAGGGGAACCCAGAGCTTGAGGCCAGAGAGCAAGAAGAAGTGGCTAGGACAAGGGTGAACATAAGAGACAAGAGCCTGAGCTGTCCAGCCCAACCAAGGGCTCAGGTCAATGAGGCAAGCTAGCCTGGAGTGTTGG